ATGGACTATAACACCCAACACCAGTCCTCTACCTCCATTTGAATCACATTCATAGTTATGTACTATGGTCACGAACTGTGGTGTGGCTCACCCTCAGTCTCAACCTTCATGAAACCCAACTGAAACAAAGAATAGCTTCAGTTTCTCAATAGTCATCACCTTCGTCAACATATCTGCAATGCATGATTTTCAACTATTTGTATCTTTTTTCTAAAAATAACTGCTCATCTTTGAGAAGATATTGAATGAAATGATACCTGAACTTGATGTGTTTTGTCTTGACATAAAAATTAATATTCTTAGCAAGATGAACTGCACTCATACTCTCATTGTAGAGTCTTTCAATCCTCCGGCCTCAAATAGAGCCTACAGTCAGTTATCCAATAGGTGCATCCAAAAACCCTTCAAAAAGCGTCCGAATCTTCTAGAAACATGGTCTGAATCGACATTGGAGCCGTCGGCACCAGTGGTCCGTAATTTAATTCTATGCTCTTTGCTAAATGACATCGTTGGCGTTGCTTCTGGCGCCGTCGGCGCTGAGTAAAATCCATCAGTCGTTCTGTAAGTTTGCACCATCTATGCTGAGTATTTTATCAAAAATGCCAGTTTGACTCCAAATTCCATCTTTTTTTGCTTCTTTTTTGCTTCAAGTCTTAAAAATCAACAACATGTAAGAAAACATACAAATAACTTTCATTAAAGCGCAATATCACCAAAAATGAGTATAAAATATGGTTCTAAAAATGCATATAATTTTGGTGTATCAGTAGACCCCGGTTCCTCAGTTTGAGTAGCACCTATGTGGGTGCTTAAGTGCCCGCAACCAGGCGGATATGCGTCGAGTGCCTTGTGCTTAGGCTCCACAACCCAATAATCTCCTACTTATGGACTATAACACCCAACACCAGTCCTCTACCTCCATTTGAATCACATTCATAGTTATGTACTATGGTCACGAACTGTGGTGTGGCTCACCCTCAGTCTCAACCTTCATGAAACCCAACTGAAACAAAGAATAGCTTCAGTTTCTCAATAGTCATCACCTTCGTCAACATATCTGCAAGATTTTCAACTATTTGTATCTTTTTTCTAAAAATAACTGCTCATCTTTGAGAAGATACTGAATGAAATGATACCTGAACTGGATGTGTTTTGTCTTGACATAATTAATATTCTTAGCAAGATGAATCGCACTCATACTCTCATTGTAGAGTCTTTCAATCCTCTGCTGCTTACCCAATTTTGTCATGAAACTCTAAAGCAAAATTATTTCCTTGTCAGCATTAGTAATAACAACATATTTAACATCCGTATTTGAAAGTGAAAAAATCTTCTACGACCTAAAAATCTTACTCACTATTGTGTTCCCTGATGTGAAGAAATAACTTGTTGTACTTCTTCTACTGTCCACTTCACTTGCTAGATCTAAATCTACAAAACTTAGATTGTTCCCTGCACTTTCATAGCAAAGTACCCTATTAATTATTCCCCTCAAATGCCTGAGAATTCACTTTACCACCTCCCAATGATGCATGTCTGGATTGTCCATGTATCTGTTGAGCACTCCCACTACATATGTAATATCTGGCCTGATACAAATGATCGTATATATCAAACTTCCAACTATTAAAGCATAAGGAGTTGTCTCCATATAAGCTTGCTCTGCTTCAAAGTTAAGTGATAGCTCCTTAGATAGTTTAAAGTTACTACCTAAGGGAGTGCCGACAGTGCTAATTGGTTTCATCTCACTCATGTTGAACCTTTTTAGGATCCTTTCAACATACTCTATCTGAGACAACTTTGGTGTTTTTACACTCCTGTCTCTACTGATTCTCATCCTGAGGATCTTTTTGGTTGGACCTAAATCCTTCTGCTTTAACTCACTTGATTACTATTTCTTCAAGTTCCTGATTTTTTCTATATCTGCCTCTGCAAGAAGATCTCTATGCAATCCACTCCTTCCTTATACTGGAAAACCTTCACAACGAGGCTTGCATTATAGTGTTTGCTACCATCTGACTCCTCTTTCAGCTTATAGACCCACTTATTGTGCAGTACTTTTTTGTCATTTGGTAGTACCATCAAATCCCAAGTCTCATTTAACTCCAAACATTCTTTTGATTATCATAAATACAATCTTCACAAAAATTTTGATCAACTAATTTCAGACCCTGAAGGTTATTATTTGAAAGTAGGGACTTCATATTTTTATCGCTCATATGACCAAGCTTACGATGCCACAAACTTGTATCCACCCTAGTTCCAGCCACATCAATGAAATCAGTCATTTCATTGATTAGATAAAGGGTGCCTTCAATTTTGCTTTGATCCATCACTAATGCCCCATGACCACCTTCCATGAATCACCTCTAAAATTAGTCATAAGTCTTTACCTTTTTAGCCGGCTCAAAGATATAATATTTCTCTGAACATCTATGACTTCAGTAAGCTTCCAGATTGTCCCATTCAACAACTAGATATCAATATCATCTATTCCAACATATTGCAAGCCTTGTTATCACCCAGATAAACCTTTCATAGATTACTCTGAGTGTAGTTTTTAAATACCTCTTTATTGGGGTAAGCATAAAAAGAGGCACCTGAATCCACCGTACAAGATTCAGTGCTGACTAGGGATAACACTAGGGAGTCATTTTGGATTTTACCTGTGGATTCATTATTAGAGAAACTACTCTCCTCTCCTCCTCCACCAGCTTTTCTTGGAGTTTTACAGTCCTTCTTGAAATGCCCCTTCTTACCGCAGTTCCGGCTTTTTGCTCTGTTTAACTTGGGATTTCCTTTCTTGAATCTTCCTCTACTGATATTCCTGCCCAGATTCCTTCTACTACTATCAGCATTCAACGTAAAACATGAAGATTAACCATTCGTTGCTTTTTTTGTGAACTTCTTCATTCAACTTCAAATCCACGATATCATCAAATTTTAACTTCGAAGTCCCTGAAGAATTACACACCGTCATTACCAAGCCTTCCCAGCTTTCACCAGTATTCTAACTCATCATCAAACTTGATCCCCACAAAATAGAACTTGCTTGTCACAGTGTTGAAGTTATTGGGATGCTCTACCACTGAATTGTCTTCCACCATTTTTATGTTGAATAGTTTCTTTATTAGAAAAATCTTATTGGAAATAGAATATTTTTGTACACCTTGGCCAGTGCCGCCATGAGATCCACCATAGTTTTCTCATTTACAATGTTAAATGTAACATATGAGGAATGTGTCAACCTGGTCAAACCTAGTGTCGCTCGATCCAACACTTCTCATTTCTCCATAGGCATAGACTCATGCTTTCTTGTGATTCCTTGTAAAGACTAGTCTAATTTTTTCTGATACACTAAATCCTCCACCTGCATCTTCCAAAAAGTGAAATTTGTCCCATTGAACTTCTCTACCTTTAATCTTGTTTCTTCAGTCATTGCTGCAATGCAAATCAAACCCCGCTCTAATACTAGTATGTTAAGGAAAACTACTATGAAAGAGTCTTCTTTTAATTTCACCACATAATAGGATCACAAGATTCTAGAAAACCAGAACAAAAATTTAAACATAGAAGCACAATCAAACCAACAAGAAAAACACACAACAATTTTACATGAAAAAACCAGAGAAAGGGAAAAAACCATGGCGCCACACCTCCAGAAATTACAGAATGAAATTTAGAAATTTTTATAAATGACTCACACAAAATTTTTCTCCACACTCACACAAAGAAAATTATAGAACTTGCACCAACAATCTTTCCTCTCTGATCCAACGCAAAAAATAATGTCGAATCACTGAAATCCACCTCTTCGACACTCCTCACCTTCACCGCAAAACTCTTTGAAGAATTTAGAAAGAATAAAAGGGTAAGCCCACCGATCCACACTCAAATTTTGGCTTAAAAAATTAATTGTTGGTGTAGTATCTACATCAAGAACTTAGGCACTGAAACTTGGCGCCTAAGCGTCGGTCTATCAGGAATAAGAGCAGCTCTCGCTTTATAGCAGGCGCATATGCGCCCAAAGCCTGTGCCTAGGCCTCGGCTCCTTTGTTTGAGCAACACCCAAGTTGGCGCTTAAGCTCCCACAACCTGGTGCATATGGGTCAGGTGTCGTGTGCTTAGGCTCCATAGGAAGGCCAACATTATGAAACCCAAATAATATAATGCATTTTGAAAAAAAAAAAAACTTTCTACACAAATATAAGGCTTTATTAAACATAGAGGGTACATCAAAATTTTCTTATGTAATATCTGTTACCCTAATTTTTTATCTTAAAAAGAGCATTATAATTAAAATTTGATTAAAAGAATATTGGAAGAAAAAATAGAGACTATGAAACTTTAATTTTCTTTAAGAAAAATTTATTTTCATCTTAATAAATTATATAATCTTGAAACATATTTCTATATTTTCTTCATTTTATATGAAGTCAATGATTTGAATTAGATTACAAAGAAACTATACAAATATAAATCTATACTTTTATTTCAAAAAATGTCATAAATTTAATTATCAAACTTTAAATATTCAATATATAAATGTACAATAAATGTGTGTTGTATGCATGCATGTAAAACTTCTTTAAAACTCCAAGTTAATATGAACACTAAATTTAACTTATTCAATTTTTAGAACACCTTTTTTAAGATTTTAAAAATGCAAGGCAAAACAAGTCTACACATACACAACTTACATACATATATAAAATTGTAAAGCATATACATATATATATATATAGAGAGAGAGAGAGAGAGAGAGAAAGAGAGAGAGAGAGATGTATGTATGTTTGTATGTACATACATACATACATATATATGCATGCACGTACATGTATACATACATATATATTTATCTATATACATACATACATATATATACATACACACATATATATGCATACATACAAACACATACAGACATATACATACATACATAAATACATACACATACATACATTAGAAAAAAAGTTGATATCATATCATATTTAGTCCTCATAAATAAAGTCCATACAATCATATATCTATGCCTTCATAGCCAAAGCAAAGCTAATAATATATGAGCATAAGAAAAAGTGCACACTACTTCAAAGACCAAACAAATGAGTCAAACTCCTTCACCACTGAAACTCCCCACCAGCATTAAACCAGATAGAACACTTAATGAACCTGCAAATTAAAAATAAATAAATAAATAAATAAATAAATGCAAAAATTAAAAAAAAAAAATTAAAAATGAGAAATAGAGAGGATTAATTAACCAGATAATAGGAGGCTCCATGCTGAAGAGGCTGGAGAGTGAGGCCCCACTCATCAGTCAAAACGGGGTGGCCGGAGGAGTGGAGGAGAACGGCTTCTTCCCCGAAGACCTCCCTTATGTTGAGAGGTCCGGCGATCACCTCGTATCCCACGTCATTAATGAATACAGTTGACTTTTCCACTGCAGTCAAACCACCATTATTCCACCATTAATTACTCATTTATTCATACTTATTAATAATCCCTTTAATTATGCCATAATAATCCGCTTATGGTTCAAGTAAGAATTTAATTTGATGACTTCAACACATTGAATTGTAATTTAATTCTCAGCTTTTTATATACATTAAAAAACCCCCCAAAAATGCAAATATATATTGAACACTTTAGCTACTACATATATAAATCCAAAAGAATTATGTGGTAGAAATGCAATTTTTCCAAAATTTAGGGTATGTTTGGGGTAGCTGCAGCTTATTGAATAATTTGATTGAAAAAAATCTGCTGATAAGTTAGGTGCGGTGACTATTACAAATTTTTGTTTTTATTTTTTGAAAAGTCAAACCGCTGTCAGAGAGCTGTCACCGCACCTAGATAGGTGTGGTGTGAAAACGCTGCTTTCAGCGTTTTCAAAACGCATAAGCTGTCAAGACGCAGTTTACCCAAACATCCAGGTGGGTCTTCAAAACGCCACCACACCAAATAAGTTGCCCCAAACGGACCCTTAGTATGTGCTCAGCTTAAAACTAGTTATGACTTTAAAAAGAACAATTAATCTTATCCTATTAGCCACAAATAATTTCATAAATTACACTTCGCAGCCATAAATCATGTCTTAAGTCTATTAATTCTTACATTCTAGTTCCCAAGTATTATCCTAATTAATAAATGTCCCTAATCTTTACTATATAATTAATTTACGTGGATCATTAAAAGATAATTATAATAAAAAAAATGTAAAAAATACATATATGTGGTATGCAAAAACTGGATTTTGCACTTTACAGTTATCTAGAGAGAGAAAAATAGAGAGAAGAAAAGGGGGGAGTTTTTTTTGCCCTACCTTTAATGCCATGCACACGTCCAATCTAGGTAACTGAGCCATAATGCAATGCGTGAAAGAACCCTCTAATGTCAAAATTTTCTTTCATTTTTCATTTTCTCTCTCTATATGTTCTTTCCCTTACATCCTCTCCATCACTTCAACTCTCTTTCTATCTCTTCACCTGTCTTTCTCTCTGAACAACACTGTCACACATGAAACTCTCTCGAGAATCTCTTCTGACATGACTACACGCCCCAGTTTCCTTTGATCCATCCACTCAATCTTACATACATGACTCCGGTCCCCCTACACATTCTCTCTCTATCTCTACATGTCCCTCTCTCTAACTCCTTGCACTCTCTCTCTCTAAAAGATTTGCTTTTGCTAGGTGATTAGGATTTAAAAAGACTTCCTTTTCTATATTGAACATAGAGATGAGCTTGTATATGGTATTTTATTTTAAAATAATATATAGTGTACCTTTTATCTCATTGACAGTACCGGGTGTAGCCGTTTCTT